TATCCTCTCCGCCCCGACACCCAGCAAAGCTGCCTCACAGTTCTTGCTCCAAGTATATGAAATGCACTCTCCCACCGCACATGTCTGCCTTTCGAAAGTCCATGCAGCTTACTATGGGACAGTTGCCTGATGCCAGTGACAGAATGCTGGCATGAAAAAAAATGGTGTGAGGGGACACTTTTGTGTCTCTAGGTCTCTTCTATAAAGTAACACCAAATGCCAGGTTTGAATCCTAATTAGAACAAACCAACTGTAAAAGATATCTTTGAAACTCTTTGGAAAATTTGAACATGTTTTGGGAATCAGATGATAGTAAGGGATAGCCGGTAATTCTGATGGACATAATGATGACTTGGTGGTTGTGTTTTTAAAAATGAGACATACTAAAGTATTTACAGGTCAAATGGCACGGTTAATGGGATTTGCCTTAAAACACTCCAGCAAAGCAAATAAAAAAATTGCTTTGGAAATATATGAAACAAAATTGGTAAAATGTTGAAAAATGTCAAAGCTGGATGATGGTAGTCTGTTATATTATTTTCTCTACTTTTTATGGTTGAAAATTTCCATAATAAAGTGTAAAAAATTAAACTCGTGCTTTTAGAGGCCAAATAAAAGACTGCCTGCGAAGCTTTCCCTAATGCTCTGTCAGAATTCATCTTTCTTTTAGGGGGACATTTTGCACATTCTGTTGGTGTTATACTCATTTAAATGCATGTTCATCTCACCCCTAAGACTGTGAGTTCTCCAAAGGCACAACCATTGTCATGCTCATCTTTGTATCCCTCCGAGAGCCAGTTTGTGTCTTTTGCATGGTGAGTGTAAATACTTGTCAAACATGATGCCCTGAGTAGTGTAGTGACAGTGCTACAAATGCTGTATTATTCATTTTCTGTCATTAATGAGAAGCCACTGTTAAAATATCTCCCTGTTCTCATCACCAGAAATAGTTGTGCTTCTCCCGGTTTATTTTTATCATGTGGACACTCTGAGTCTTAGAAGTGATCATTTTCCCTCTTTGTGTTGCTACTTTAAAGCTTAGAATTAAATTTGTGGCCCACCCACAGCAAGTGTACAGGCATTCTGCAGTGTGTCTTTTGTGTGCTGGCTTTGTTCCTGGCTTCTCTTTTTAATTTTCCCTTCTCTCATGTTCTTTCTGTCCTGCGTTCCACTTTGACTTTTGGGGGGACAAAATTGTAATAATTTATATGAACTCTATTATATTTTTGTGGAATCAGTCAGGATATAAGTAATATTCATTCTCTATTATTGTTTTCCTGGGTTTAGGATAATAGACTCTTTTGTGTCTACATAGTAGGCAATGTGTTAAATACTTTGCATATTATTTAAATTAGTCAACAACTCTGCAAAGTAGGTATTCTGACTCCATTTTACAGATGATACAACTGAGGCAATGATGTCTCTCCCAGACCCATGCACCTGGTAATGTCACATGTCAGGTTTGAACCCAGATCTGTCTTACTCTTTGGATTCAGCCCACAGTCTCCCCTTTTTTTTTATATTTCCATGTGATTTTTGCAAGTTTTGAAATGATGCTTCTACTAAGATTTTAGAACACATAAAATATTCTTTTAAAGTATTTGTTTCACTTCTTAATTCTATTATGGTGTCTTTTCATATTTGACTTTGTTTCATTCTGTTCTCTTCTGGAAAGGTTAAAAAGATATCCCGCCAAAAACAAAGGAGGGGGAAAGAAAGTCAAAGTAAAGGAAAAGAAGAAGTATGTGCCCATTTTCTAATGTAATTGAGATTTTTATTTTGTCCCCAGGCCAGTGTTCTGGTTGAGAAGGGTTTGGGACTTGGGGAAGGCAGGGGTGAATGAAATAATTCTATAGAAATGGAAGAGAAGAGAATCCCATAGAAATCAGAAAACACTCCTAACTAATTTTCTTTGATTCATTCAAGGCCCTCCTTGACCCAACCATCACAGTATTCCCTTCACTCACATAATAACATATTCATGATATACTCTGGACCAGGTACCATGCTGAGCATTTTGAAAAATGAGCATTTTGCTCATTTGATTTTTCAGTAAAAGCCAGTGTGAAAGGAATTCTTATTATCGCTCTGTTTCAGTTGTGGAAGGAGGATCAGGGAGGTTAGGGAACTTGCTCAAAGCCGCAGAGCTTTTCAGAAGTGGAACTGGATTCAGAGCCAGGCAGGTCATCTTCAGAACGGGCCTTCTTACTCGCTCCTGTGGTCACTACTGTTCTTCTCCACACTCCTGTCTTCATCATCAGTGTCTATGTGCCACCCATTTTTAAAGACCTAACTCGAAAGCCACTGTCATCATCTAACTTCCCCTTACTCTTCTCTTCTTCAGGCCTCACTCACCACTTTTTCTTCTCTGACTTCCACAGAACTTCACCTCTACCCCCTCTCATAGCACACTCACCTTTTCCTGCCTGCACTGTAGGTATTGATATGCACATATAAGTCCTTTTTAAATTCTAAGCTTCTTAAAGGAAACTCCTTGTGTTTCTCTTGGACGCTGTCCTGCTTTGAGAAAATTCTCATTACATGTCTGGATGAAAAGGGGGCTCACTTCAGTACTTTTTCCATCACAAATTTCCAGTTAATGCCTTTTCTCCTAAGATCAGTACAAGAACTTATAACTGGAAATGTCCAAGGTTTGCAACATATTCCCTAGTTTATCCCAGAAGTAGTTCCTGACCAAAATGAGAAATATGAGTGCCTATCTAGCCTAACATTTCCTATCAATATAATTTTATAGCAGTGAATAGCCCTGAAGTTTTAAGATGAGAGCAACAGATTTGTCAGTTTAAATTAAGGGATGTACACATATCTGCATTTTATTCTCAGGAGTTAAGTTCCCCTATAGCAGAAAGTAAACAAATCTCCAGATAACAAATTAAATAAGACAGATCTTGTTTCACTGTATTTATAATTCAGTAGGACAAATCTTGCCTCTAGATTGTATGGTCAGTATTTTAAATGCCTCCAAACTTATAAAGTAGGAGTGATTATTTTAGAACAGTTCATCTGACTCCTTTATTGTGAAGTTTCACTGATTCACTCTCCCAACCACTATACATAGAACCACTTTTCTGGTTTAGGCTTTTGTGCAAGATTCTGAAGAGACACAGTTGACCCTTGAACAACATGATTTTGAACTGTGTAGTCCACTTATAGGCAGATTTTTTTCATTTACAGTGCAATACCATAAATGCATTTTCTCTTCTTGATGACTTTTTAAAAACTTTTTTTATTTAAATTTATTGGGGCGACATTGATTAATAAAATTATTTAGGTTTCACGTGTGCAATAATATATCATGTGTATATAACATTGTGTATTTACTATCCAAAGTAAAATCTCTCTGCCGAACCGGTTTGGCTCAGTGGATAGAGCGTCAGCCTGCGGACCCAAGGGTCCCAGGTTCGATTCCGGTCAAGGGCATGTACCTTGGTTGCAGGCACATCTCCAGTGGGGGGCGTGCAGGAGGCAGCTGATCGATCTCTCTCATCGATGTTTCTGACTCTCTATCCCTCTCCCTTCTTCTCTGTAAAAAATCAATAAAATATATTAAAAAAAAAAAAGTAAAATCTCTTTCCATCGCCATATATTTGACCCCATTTACCTTTTGCTACCACTCCCCACCCCCCTTTCCTCTGGTAACCACCATACTGATGTCTGTGTCTGTGAGTTTTTGTTTGTTCATTTGTTGCTTTCAGTTTTATATCCCACATATGAGTGAAATCACATGGTTCTTGACTTATTTCGCTTAGCATGACATTCTCAAGACCCATACATGTTGTCACAAATGGCAATAGTTCACCTTTACTTATGGCTGAGTAATATTCCATGGTACAAAGGAGCCAAAAATGTACAATGGAGAAAAGAAAACCTCTTCAATAAATGGAGCTGAGAAAATTGGAAAGTTACATGCAAAGGAATGAAATGACTGCTGTTTGTCACCATACACAAAAATTAACTCAAAGTGGATCAAAGACCTAAATATGAGATCTGAAATAATAAACTACATAGAAGAAAACATAGGTACTATTTTATTAATTTGACCTCAAAGGCAAGGGAAATAAAAGCAAAAATAAATGAATGGGACTATATCATACTTATGACTTTCTTTTTTAAAAAAAATGAAATTTCTTTTTTTTAATATATTTTATTGATTTTTTACAGAGAGGAAGGGAGTGGGATAGAGAGTTAGAAACATCGATGAGAGAGAAACATCGATCAGCTGCCTCCTGCACACTCCCTACTGGGGATGTGCCCGCAACCAAGGTACATGCCCTTGACCAGAATCAAACCTGAGACCCTTGAGTCCGCAGGCTGACACTCTATCCACTGAGCCAAACCGGTTAGGGCACTTATGACTTTCTTAATAACATTTTCTTTTCTGTAGCTTACTTTATTGTAAGAATATAGTATATGATACATATAACATACATAATATGTGTTAATTGACTATTTCTGTTATCAGTAAAGCTTCCAGTCTACAGTAGGCTCTTAGTAGTCAAGTTTGGGGGAGTAAAAGTAAACATGATTTTTTATTGTGCAGAGCTGGAGCCCCTAACTTCCACATTATTCAAGAGTCGACTGTAATAGTGACCAAGTATGGTAACTGCCCTCACAAATCCTACAGTCCAATAGAAGATCAGAAAGTCACTAATCAATAATGACACAGACATCTATAATTTTCACATCAGTTCCAGGCTATGTGAAATCTTCGCCTTCATTCTGCTATTTGCTTGAGTTAACACTATGGAACTCACTTATGCATAATGGATGTAATTATGGCCCTTTTCTGTCCTGTCTTTCTGACAGACACAAAGTATTTCTATTGGAATGGTAAGGAGTTCCTCTTATTGAGACGATTAGCTAGGCAAACACATTTCCATGCAGGGAAGATCCAAGACAAGGTAGATATTCCTCCCTCGCTACTTCCAGTTACATTTTATTTTATTTTTAAGAAGCAAGAAAGGGTAATCTATGCACATCTGATGTGCAGCTTCCAAGTGATACAAATCTCATCTTTCCTGCTGTGTGGCTGCTTGCTTTTCCTTGCACTTATTTTTCCTTTTTGTCATTGAGAGGTTATGACAACACGAGCCATATTGTATTTATAAACATCACGTGTTTCCTTGATATGGCTCGCAGCTTCTGCCAGACGAACACATGGAAGAAACATTTCTCGTTAGCTCAGCATTGGTTTTACTTATGCCGATTTCCGGAACAGGAAAAATGCCTTCCTACTCAGATTTAACTTTCATAGAGTAGCAACAAAACCTCTGAATGTCCGTGAAATAGTTTTAACAAGGGTGGATACTGCTCCTTTAAACCGCATATTTTGACTAAAAGCTTCCTTCTGTGAAAAAAAAAAAAGAACACACACAAAAACCTCAAGCCTTGCATTCAGTCACCATAAAGACAGGCAGCGCTGGAAGCGTTCGAGAGATGGGTGATTCCAAGGTCTCTGCGAGTCTAGAAAGTTTCTTCTAGAAGAGAAAGGTTCACGGAAGATGTAAGGTAAGAACTGTGCCTCTGTAACAGAAAAGAATTTTCAGAAATTTTTGTCGTCTGTGGCACATTCCCTGGATTGAGTCAGGTCTGCTGTGTTTAAGTTGATTCAATGAGGAATTGAAATTTCAGGTTTTTATGTTAACTGTTTAAAGGGCACTTCTTTGTTATTGGCATTCGTCTTTTTTTAAAAATCCATTTAAATTACATTGGGCTGTCTTCAGTCAATAAATTTTGTGATCTAGTGTCTGCTGAACCTTATAATGTAGAAAAGGATTTAAATAGTCAACATTGTTTGCTAGTACAGATCTCATCGGTTTATGTGTTTTGTGACAGTTTTCAGTGTTTTCACAAAGATGCTCACTTGCATTTAGTTTCTGAGACAAATGTAGAGAATTTGAAGGCGCGGTACAAATGGGGGGTGGAGATTAATATGTGTCCTTTCCCAGTCCAGGGAAATTTTCTTGTTTTTTTTCTTGTATAAAACATTGTAGATTTTAAAATAAAAATAGCTCTTTTAATTTTTACATTTTAAAAAGAAATATCAATTTAAGCTTTATGAATAACATTAAAATATTCTACAGTTTTGACATATTATAACATAATAGATATATTTCATTTCTATTGGGTTTAATAATTGACTGAAAAAAGCCTTTGGCAGAAATTATATTTACTTGAGAATAACTATTCTGTCTTATTCTTGCACTAGTTAAAATCACAATATTTTGCATTTATTTCTTTTAAAGAAGTTTAATAAGAATAATGTTCTATTAAATCAATCTGTTTCATTTTAAAGGTACATGTGAGCATGGATCAGCTTATGAATAACTGTATGGATACCGTTACCCCAATTTAGAGATGAGTTCATATGCATGAGAAGTTGTTTTTCAATGTGGTCTAAATAGTATACGTTATTTTATGCGGTCATCAGAATAACTGTTTGGCGTAGGTGCCATCATACCTATCTTAAGACTGGAAAACAAAGGCTGAGAAAGATTAATAACAAGATCACACACTAGTAGGTAGCAAAGTTGTGATTCAAACCCAGGCTGACTGTCTCTACAGGTCTTGTTTTAGAATCCAACTATGCACAGCCTTACCAGGAGCTAAGAGCTCCAAGTCTGGAGTCAGATACAGATAACTCATCTTGGAAGTAATGATTTATAAATAAATAAGTAATGCTTAACTGTCTTCAAGATAAATTGTGGGGAGCCGGCACAGCCATGGCATACTCAGTCCCAGGGCGCCTTATGTGCCATGCCAGCTCAGCCTGGTTCAGTGACCCTGAGTGGGGGGGGTGAAAGGATTGATTCTTACTGCTTATTTTCTAACGTCTACCACTTACTTTCTATTTCTACTTATTTCTCTATTTCTACAGCTTATTTCTATCTTACCTATCTTTAGCTTAACAAAACCTAAGAGATCTCTTAGAAAAGACAGACAAGAGAATGAAAGCTGGGTCTCAGTGGGACGCTGCTCCCTGATGAGGAGACAGCGCCCACAATAAATTATTTAGTACAATTTGGGATATATATTTTTTTAGATCTGTAGCATCCAAGACCTAGTATCACACTGGTTGTTATTCAGGGACCTGGTTACAACTTAGAGTGAAATGAGAACAGTGAACGTCAGATGACGTGGGATAGCAGACAGCACTGTGGGTAAAGGGCTGTTTTCTTCTTACGCTTCCTTCTTTGCGTCATGTGCTGTGCGCTCATAAAACTTTCTCGTGGGACCAGGGAGCTTATTCGTGAGCTTGACTTGGAAGTGAGGGAGCGTCTTTGATGGAGACTGCCTGCATGTGCCGCCTGCTGTCCTTTCAGGCCTCTAGAAAGAGGTGGTCAGGAAGAACGTTAAAGAACTTGGAAGGTGGAAGACTCTGGAGTCAGGACAGCTAGCTGAACCGACTCAGAGGCAGGGATTGTTGCTTGCCTCGGCCCCTCCTGAAGACTGACACAGCCACTCAGCTGCAAAAATGTCCTGGTGACCTGTGCTGCGAAGTAATGACTGCCAGCAGCATCCACCGGAAATGCAGCTGCTCATCGCAGCACTGCACTTGGGCTCCAGGATCTAAGCAGCTTGCTTCCAACCCCATTTCTGCATAAAACCTGGGGCTGGTTAAGCAACCGACGCAATTGAATGTTGACTGGAACCAGGCCTTCCTCCTCCAGCAGCCACTGGGGTGAGCTCCTGAGAGCTCTGTGCCTTGCTAGAAAGTTCAGGAAAGGTTAATGCCACACTTCAGCTTTTTTATATCCAAGCCACACCCCGTTTCTTGGCTCAGAAATATAGGTGCTAGCAGAAATGGCCTTTGACTGCGATCATATGTCCTGGTATTTTCCGGTTGTATCCCTTGTACCTACATGTTTTTTCCCTGGGGTTGAATGTCTCCTCTGTGAGTCCCCGTCAGGGCAGCTTGGACTATGGGAGTTCATTTCCTGTTATATCAATACAGGCTCCCTTGGAGCCAAGATCCTATCCAGGTGACCATTCTTTTCTTCATGATTTTCCTAAAATCCCTCAGGTGAGCTTGTGTTACTTTTATGTAAATTTGGGGGGGGGGGACGACACACATTTATCCTTTGAAGAGGAAAGAAATGTTTTTAAGATCCATATTGCCTGGGGGCAAGCCCTGCTTTTTCCCCGTGGGGTTGGCAATCCCTTTGCTTGCGTGTGATTTGCAGGTGTGACACTGTCCGCTCTGAGGAGCTGGGGCTGGCTCCTGTGACTAGGAAATACACCTGGCCTGTGTCGTTGGCGCCCCCTGAAGAAACAGGCCTGGCTTATTGGAATCAGGGTTCTAGAGGTGGAAAGGACTTACACATCACCTCTCATCACTCTTTCACCGCCAGTTGTGACTCAGGAGGCTGGCATGGCTGGTGTGAGTTGGTTAAGGCCACAACGTAAGGAAGTGACAAAAATAGGGCTGGATCCCAGGCCCCCCCAGCCCCTTACACCAGCCTTTTGTCCATTTCCAGGGCTCTCCTCTTTTGGTTCTCACCCTCTCGAGGGTTGTTTTCTTGATTGATTCAGGCAAACACTATGCCATTGACTTCTCAGCAGTCCATTGTAGTCGCTGAGCATAGCCAGCTTTCACTTTGCGTCCAGACAGCAGCACAACGCTGTGGTGTGGCCAGAGCTCATTAGTCAGATATGCATGGGCCTGGACCAGAAAGAAATGGGTTGCTCAACTAACCCGATTCATATCATTCAATATTTTATTGAAGGAGAGCAAGCCATCAAGACAACTGAAAAACAGCAGCTGCTTCAAATTATGAGATACTTTGAATAAAATAACATTGGCTTTAAAGGGTTGTATAGTATTATAGAGTTATTTTCAAAAGTCGGCCTCTTTGCTAAGGCTCTGACAATAACTCTGTTTGAAACTTTAATGTATTACTATTCAGACTACTTCCAAAACTGTTTTTCCCTTGGACCAATGATTTTAAGTGGCACATAGAAGAAACAAGTTTTTAAATGTTATTAATTAAATAATGTTGTATTAACAAGTACTGCAAAGATAAGTAGTGCCAAGAACTTGAAAGTTAATGAATATTCTTGCTTTGTCACAACTAAATAAAAAGAAAGTCCATCTAATATTGACTTAAAGCATGATAGTACATTTGGTGTGAGGGTCTGGCAGAAAGAATGACAATATCTTGTTATCGAGTGAAGTGTAGAAACCCAGGCATTATGACAAAGCTGGAGTTGGGTGTTCATAGAGGGGCAGAGTAAACCATTATTAAGGATTATACCGTTGAAGAAAATGAACCATTTGGATGTCAGGGTCAAATCGAATTCTTGCTTAAGTGTTCTCAAGACCTCCAGCATCTTGGTATTTGGCACAAAAGAGGAGCTGTTTCCTTGGTCCCTTTCGTGCAGATTGATTTACTTAAGGCCTTTTCTGATAAGAAGTGTGAACGCCCAGTGTGTCATTGAGGCCACGGGTCCTTCCCCTTGTCCAGGAAGCTCTAGCACAGGCCCTGGTCCTGAAGTGCAGAAAGCATCTTTCTCTCGGTTGATCAACTCATGCACTTGATTTCTTTCTTTTTATGTTTGTCTTTTCCTGTGAATCAAAGGTCATGCTTCCCCTTCTTCTGATTTAACTTTTTGAACCTGTTCCTTTCCATCTGCCCTTGACATAGTAGGAAGAGCTGCCAAAGAAAAACCCAAACATAACAATGTCAGTGATGAAGTAATTCCGGAAGAGCAGGGGCCTGATCTACAGGACTGAGGCGCAGTGAGTGCTTTTTCAACAACTCGCCTCTGAGGTGTGAGATCACAGCCCGGCTCTGGGAGCTGCGCCTGGTGCCATTCTTTGTACTCATTCTAAGGAGGAAGGCACCTGAATAGGGCATTCGGTAGATGGTTGACCCATCTCAGCCTAGAGACTGAGGGGACATTCTAGATACATATCCGCAAAGTGGATGCCATTTTTGCTTGCTTTAAAAGCAAATCTAAAAATATATTTCTTAGCAGCTGTGTCACTGCAAAACAAAACAAAACAAACAAAAATACTGCTCCACTGCAGCGCAAGTCACTCATAGGTATCTCCAGGGTTCGGATCTTAATGCTTCAGAAACTTGCTGCAGATTTCACTTCTATATCCAGACCAAGGAGCCCATTAGCCTGCGATCTGGGAGAACCTCTGCATTCTCGTGAAAATGAGAAATGTGCCACTATTGGCAACCTACGGCTATAATTATGTTAATCTGGCCATTTTAAGACCGAAATATGGTGTTTAAAATGTGTCTGTATTTTTATTATTTGTAACAATGAACTGAAGAAATTGAGTGAAATGCTAATAAGCTTCTATTCAGTACCACTTTGTGACTACAGCATAGCAATGAGTCAGAAGTGGTTATTTTGATATTTTTAATTTTGGCAGAGAATTTTGATCTGCAGAATTTTACTCATATACATAGTATGTCTTACTATAAAATCTACCAAAACATTTTTATATTTTAAAGTAGATACAGTGAGTATCTGTATGTGCAAATCCGTCTTGGCATATATGCTCAATA